ACTGGGTGTACGTTTACTCTGATTTAGGGAAGTTTTTATAGTGATAAAATAATTTCAGATAAACGATACGATAGCAATTCTTCACAAATTGTCCAACTGTAATCTCGATGAAGATTTACGTGAACAGGTAATTAATTATAACAAAATTTTATAAAACTTTAATTGTTCTATAAGCGTAATTTTTTTAGCGCGCATAGAAGCTCGGATGCTTGCGTAAATTTTACTTTAAAATGCAACAATTGCATTACACTTCTATATATGTAAAAATATCTATACGCACTACGTCATAACTCCATAGGTATATATATAAGAATTCATATCGGCTAGCCGAAAAAATTTCTAACATATTTTTTATTTTATACTTCAAAAGCGAACATTAAAATTATCAATAATATTTTCAAAGTCCCACAAAGTATACTATACACTTCTTTATTATATAATAAAATTAAATATATATATTTTTTATAAAACTATTACAATTAATGTTAATGTATGTATCTAAAATGTAGTATACTTGGTCGTGTTAAATTAATAATGTTGAATCAGTTAAATTCCTAATGCTTATGTTTTTTACATCTGGTTTGAATTATTTTTAATCGTAGATGGCCATTGAATATACTCAATGCCGTTAACTTAATTGAAACAATGGGGTTGTATAATTTAGGAAAAAGTGAAAAATTATTTTGTGAAATATTTGGGCGGTTTATTTAATTATTGCGTAAAATAAAATTTTAAAACTATAAAATTAAAAAAAGTTGCTAGAATTTTACATATATTGCAGTTTAAGATAACAAAATGTTATTTAATCTATAAAATTGGTTATTGTTATTTCACAAATGTATTATAATATAACATCTTCTTGACGTTTTATGATAATAACCTTCTAATTATGTACCAAGCCATTTCATAAAATTTATACAAGTGTCTAATCTGTCGTAAGTATTAGTATCTATGTATTTAGTATTTATTGAATCATTAATATCTTTTATTAATATTTTTTAGATTTTACAATTTATATTGCAAATAAAACAAAGAGAAGTAAAATTTGGCATGGGACTTTTCCACTTTGGGCATAATATGGTCCGTGAGGTATGTTTTACATTGAATAGAAGTACGATATGAATATACGTATGTATAGAATAATAGGCCAAACTCATATTTATTTCTAGCAATTTACATGCAAAAATGTCAAATTATACTATAATTTTTAATTCATTTTTCACTTAACTGTTTACACATATTTAATTGTGATTTCACATATTCAATATTTACCCAGATAATACACCATATTTATAGAATATTTACAAAGTAGTTGTAAGATTTGTTTTTAATACTTTGTATAGTCTCAAATTACGCTGATCATAAACATTTATTCTAAAAATTACGACATATTCATCCTATTTATTATTAAAGTAAATTCTATGAAAGTATTTAGAAAAGCATTATAATATAAGTATATTTATAAAATATTTATTAAGAATATATATATTTATCTATTTTATCATAAATATTACATAATATAATTTACATTTTAATAACATTTTAAATAAAATTTATATAAAATATTAATAAAATTTTTGTATACAATACGCAAAAAATTAGGGGAGCATTTTAAAACTTGCGATCTTTAAGACCCTTTCGACTCCACGTTTCTCCACTCCCGTGTTATTTAATGACTTCAAAACCCTCTTTGCGCGCATGCACACGCCATGATGTGCAAATCCGATCGAGCAACCTCCTCGTGATACACATCAGATAACGCCAATGCTTACGGTATTTAATCAAAATTTTGCGAAAGAATAGAGTCCACTCTGGAACCTGATAACTCAGCTTCAAGGCAAGCTAGAACAATTTTCTCTATTCCATTTTAAAGGGGATGTACTTGGCTTAAAAACTAATTTAGTGACATTTTTCATCTCGTCGTTGCTTTGCCCGTAGAAGACTGCAATGCAATATCATGACATTTCCAACACTGTCTTTTGGTTTTCACAAAAAAAATAATTTAATTAAATGAAAAATTTCACTTATAAGCCATTTTAAAGTAGAGACTTTACTCTTTAAAACGGGCTAAGCAACAATGTTCTGAGATTCCTGGAAGTCGAGATATTAGTTTCTCAATATCGACGAAAAGTGCAGGTTTTAAATTGCTCCCCTCTAATTTTTTTGCGTAGTATATTTAGCCATTTTACTAATTTATCTCAAATATTATATAATTCATTTAATTTACATTTTAGTAACGTTTTCAAATAAAACTTATATAAAATATATTAATAAAATATTTATATAGTCTTTCGAAAAATGTATAATTATAAGGAGTAATGAGAATACTACTTATAAATAATATAATTGTAATATTCAGTATACTAAAGACTGTTAATGTAAGAACATAACTGATACAAAAAATATTTACTAATACTAATTATAAATATTTTGTGCTATCGGGGTAATTCTTTTACGTGAATTATTTTCGATTTAGTACAAACATTTTCATTAAATATAATCAAAGCACACTTTTTTAGTTTTACAGCGCAGCTTTGGCCTTCCTGATGATTTTAATGCAGGTATGAGATTCAAATCTTCTCTATTATCTCTAATACATGACATAAATATTTTGATTATAATTTAATATCAATATATAATATATAGTTAAATGCGTTTTCATTAACCCTCCATGATCACTCTTCAAAAAATTACAGTTTATAATTTCATTTGTTTAAAAATGGAATAATAGCATTGTAATGAAAAATTTAATTTTAACATTAAACAGTAAACTTAATTACTTCGTATAATATGTTATTTTATTAAAAAATTACAACTTTTTGAATTTATAATATTTTTTTAATTTTTGGGTTAAGCCTAATAATTCTAAATTTACATTATGCTCGGTTCATTTTGATCCATAGTGACCATAAAGGGTTAAATTATATATAGAATTCCTGTTTGTTATATAACAATTACAAAATTTTACAATTAGAATGTTAGATTCTAAAATATATTTTATTAAGCGTTATATTACAATATAAAAATTTATATAATACCTTTTAGATGAATTTAATAGATTATATTCGAGAAAACAGTTTTTAATCTGAAGGCACTGTAGTAGTATGATAATTGTGCCAGTCGACGCACTTGGTGTGCGAACATACGTTATTATTTTATATTGTGCATGTTGTAAAGTGGAACAATGTGATATGTGCTATGGCTGACGAGAAATAGTTATTTTCGTGACGTGGGCGTAAAGTAAAACTTTACTCCCGTGAGTTACTGCAACGCCCGAGGGCCGACGAAGTCGGCCCGAGGGTCGCTGGCGGTAGCTCAAGGGAGGGAAGTTTTACGCCCGAGTCGCTAACATGATTTTTCGTCATGATAGGAGTAAAATACGCGAATTTATGCATGTTGAGCGGGAGTAAAGTTGACTTTCACGCCTAATGGGAGTAAAATTGTTTGTGTTTTTACAACACAAACAATTTTACTCCCAGTAGCCGTGAAAGTCAACTTTACTCCCGCTCAACATGCATAAATTCGCGTACTTTACTCCTACTATGACGAAAACGTCTTTTCTTATTAATATAATTTTGAGTAGTTTATACAAATTATTTCAATAGATTAATTCTAATTTCTGTCATGCTGCTATGCAAATAGTATTTTCATTTATTTACCTGTAAAAATTTATTCAATAAGCAACAAAGGATTCTTCTTTATATTAACTCACTTATTCGATAATTTAGAAAAAAAAAACCAAAACTCTGACTTATCCTTTTTTTAACAGTCATACAAATTGAATCATTCAGATTTACAATTAACACAATAACACTCTTTCTTCAGTGTGAATTTACGTGTAGTGTACAGAAGAGTGTGATTAATTTGTCTTTTTAAATAAATCGTAAACGGTCTTCGCTTTTGTATTATTTCATTGATATGCTTTCTTACATAAATATGCACATAAAAATAATATATATTTATATTACTTTAATAATAACACAAATTTAAAAAGGATTTAAAAATAAAGGACACAGTTGTAAGCGTATGTTACAGCACATTAGTCAAATGTATGTTTTTTAAGGAAACATGTATACTTACATTTTGTGTATAATAAAAACTTTTACTGTCGTTTCTATGTCCCAATTCAAATTCTTCCCCTCTTAAATAGAATTACTTTGTATTAGAAACAGTGCGGTACAATAATATAGCTTTGAAATTATGAAATATATCATATTATGTATATCATTATTTAGCCTTTGCACCCCCAAAAAATGGACTTTGGTGGCTCGGGACACAAGTATAGGTAAGTACAGTAGTTTCACTCTCCAAAATTTATGGGTGCGCGAATCGCACTACTTTCATCATGGCGTCGATGTCACGTATGGATACTGTGCACAGACTTCTATATAGAAGTCTGTGATACTGTGTCACGTCACTGTGGTGTCGATGTGTGCAGTGAAAACAAAGGCCTCGCACAACCAACAACATGGTTGACTGTAGGACACATAGATCAAAGGTACCGACACGGAGTGAAACTACTGTACTTATACTTATACTGTGCTCGGGATAAGAGACTTGTAGTGTCTATTATTAATCTTTTAACTAAAACTTTTAAATTAACTAGTATCTAGTTTTTTGAACATAACCGGAGACACTATACCGTGTATATTAGATTAATATTCGTTCTTTTATAATTTTATATCGAAACTTAGTATTAAATAATATACGAAATTAAATAATATACAAAAGCCGAGAAAATTAAGTTGTAGACCTAATACAAATATACACATAAGTATACTTCATATATTTACATTTACACGTATTACATTACACTTTACATATATGTAAATAATGTCGCGATAATTATCATCAGTTGATAAAATTATTTTGGACTTATCGACGATAAGTAAATTATCGACATTATTTAATTCTTATGATTACCGACAGAAATTTGAATACTCAAAAATCAAAAGTGTCAACAATGTACGAATATTGTCGCTCCTATCGTAACCCTTAAAACGAACGGTCATAATCAAGAATAACAATAACAGTAACGATATTTCTAATATGAATTCTGCGAGCAAGGTGATTATAAAAGCTGACCATTTCGGGCAATTATATCATATTTTGTTTTTATATTGTTTCACAATTTCTATACAATGTTGGGGCAGAGAAAAAAGCAGATACGTTCGAAAAAAGAAAATGTTATGTGTATTTTTAGGTTAAACCGACAGTGATATAAAGTTTAATTTTTTTATAACTACTGTTAATGAGTGCATATAAGTTTTAATTTAATATAACTATCGTTAATAAATACATACAACTGTTATGACTAAAAATATTCATGTCTAGGTGGGTGAGATCTTCGCTGCAGCCGGAGTAGCCTTCAATAAGCTAGGTGAACTGACGATGCAGCTCCATCCTACATCAGATTCCCTAGCAGGGTAAGTTACATACAAATATTACTCATAACTTATAAAATATTTATAGATAATTGTTTTGAGATAAAAATGCAGAAAGTTCTACATTTGATTGATTTGATTTCGAAAGTCAAGTAATTCTGACAAAGCTATATAAAAAATGTAGAGTTCTGGCATGATTATCATGGAAATGTTTGTACAGAGTGATTCTCTGGTAGTATATTGTATTATATTTGAAAAAATGAAAAGAGCTCGACATTAAATTTATATAGAACAAACCAAGATATCTTGTGAGGATTCATGACAATCAGATATTGGATGTAAAAGAATTTGCATAGAATGTTTTGGAATTATTGCAGTCGTCATAAAGTAGCTTCCCTTATTTATTAAGTTTGCAATATATATGCCACTGGAGTATCATTTCGTATACAATTATAGTAAGCCATGCTCTTTTCATAATTTCCTATACTCCTCAATGTGTAGTAAATGGGCTGACGAGGATATTGAGATGCTCCGTCAGTCGGTCAGAGCCTTCAGTGAAGAATTGAGCAGAATAAGCGAGCACATCAAGAGTCGGACGGTGTAAGTTTTCACAGACTGCCATTATGGCAGTCAGTCCGAATCTCACACCGAACGTTTCGTTTTCTTTTCCAGCTCTCAAATTCGAACAACCTTGAAGAAGAAGGCGTTCGAGGAAGCGGGAATGACAGTCAGACAGCAACAGATTCTACCTCAGCAGGCGCAACAATCCACATTAGTTCAACAACAGCAGGTTGTCAAGCAGCAATCGACATCGGGAAACCAGGGTCTTATGGGAAAATCGGCAGAAGTCACACTGAACATGCTGAATGCATCTGAAACGGAAGTAGACGTTGAAGGACTGCCTGAGGAATGCCAAGTTAAGCTCGAATTTGAAGAAGGTGCGACTGAAGAAGTCACCGGTTAAATTAGTTCATTCATTTATAAGTAGAATAAATGGTGGAAAATCTGGTGATATCACCGTCATTTTTTATCATCTAATTGTTCATTGAACATTCGAATTTTAACTAGTTTTAAGCATCAGTCTCGTATAAAAACTCATAAGTTACTTTTTTTCAATAAATGTATAAAAAACCCAGTTTGGTATTATCCAGCATCCTCCTCTTTGTTCATTAAATATAAATTTTACTGCAATACTTCTTTAGGGAAGTACAGTTTATAACTGAGGTTTAGTCTTCCAAGGATGTATTATTTTTTAACTATTGTAAATGAAAAAAAGTTATGTAAAATTACATTTTTTTTCTATATTTATTGCATTGTAAAGTAATATAAAAAGTTTGATTTAAAATTGACAATTTAGAATCTCAATAAAAATTACTTTAATAAGATGTGAACGTGTTTTTAAAAAATAATTAAGAGATAAAATGAGAACATTTTTATTTAAACTATAAAATTGTATTGTTAAATGTAAACATTAATCTCACTGAACTCTTTTATATGTATATAATATATATTTTAATATGGATCAAAGTGTAAATTTCCATTCTCAGTCATTTTTTGCAAAATAAAAAAATATTCAAAATAAAAAATATTTTTAGACATGTAGAAAAAAAGAAAAGAAAAGAAATAATGAAAAGGCTCTATATGTATAAAACAATACAAATATAAGAAGGGCAAAGAGCCAAGTAAATTTATCGACAAAATAATTCAATTATTTAAAATTAAAAAAGAAACGCTTTAATTATTAGAATCGAAATGAAAATTAAAAGAAAAGAAAAATGTATAAAAAATTTAGTCACAAATAACGAATCTTAGTTATTTGCTTCGTCACCGTTGGTACTCCGGCTGATGAATAGGGATATTTTGCCTCGCGTGAGAAGTCTGGTAGCGTCGCCCATATGTCCACTTGTCTGAGGTGTTTTGTGTCAATGTATGCGTGCATTTGTGAATGACGCATACCGGCGCACCAACTGACAGATTAACCGATCAACAATGACAGTACTCGGCAGCATCTGCGCGATACAGTGAGAGCAGTCGATCGGCGTCGTTCCATCGATCGCGGCCGATCACCGTTCCTTTATTCGCTCGATCACGTGCGCGATAATGTGAAAGGGAAAGGGAACGGTATAATTCATCTTTATTTAGACTCGATTACCTGCGGAGTGACTGCGTGCTGGTCCAGGCGATAAAACACGATACATCCTAAATAAGGACGATCGAAGACACATTGTAATAACAATAACGACGACGATATGGAAGGAGGTATGGTGGACAACTCGGGCGATGACAATCTGGACCGATCCGAGGACGAGGCGGCCCTCCAGGGATGCTGCAGCCCGAAAAAGGCGCCCTACCGATTTCTCGGCTTGGCGCTCATGTGTCTGCTTGGATTCGGTACAGACCCAACGAAAACGTGAAGTTGTTTACATCTGACGACGCGTCTTAATTGTTTTTGTCCTTTTATCTGTCAACGCGCGCTGTGCCACGCCAGAATAGCGTCACGTGCCTTAAAGCGGACTGTTATCGTTATTTGTGACGATCCAGCGAACGAGATGCATATAGCCGATGAATCTCGTTTGCTTATCGCGTGGCTGATGTTCCACATTTCTGCGATTTATAGATACTTATATAAAGAAATGTATTTTATTTCAAAAACGAGGTCATCTAATTCTAGAGTTACATTTTTAATGCTGCTTTTAATACTTTTCAATGCCAAGTGTGATAATATTTAACACATATTTTTTATGAGCAACTTATTTAATATTGAAATTTCTGATATTTTATACAAAATCATATACATAGAAATGTATTTTATTTCAAACGGAGTCATTTTCGAATTTTATTCGTTTAATATTTTCCAAAATGTATATTAAATTATCAATTGTATTGATAATTCATCATGTTTTTTGCACTATTCATGTGGTATTTATTTAATGCAAAAAATCTATCTATAAAATTCTTTGCTTTGATTAGTACTTGTATTTTTACTTTATGTTTTAATTGTGATTTAGTAGCCAAAATTTTCTATATATAATAGAAAACCAATAAAAAGAGATTAATTGGTTGAGTTGAAATAGAAATTGTTTAAACATATTCGCTATCTTACGTTTTCTTGCTATTAATTGTGGAGAAAAATGTAACATTGCCGCCGCTTAGATAAGGCATATCATGAACGTCCTCTTTATATGGTTTATCACATTTTTTTTTAATATTGGCCATATGTTGTATAAGTAATGTTAAAATCTATGACACAATGCATACATGATAGGGTATCTTCGTTTATTAAAGCAAAAAATAAAGCTTTTAACAAATAGTTTTAAATTTATCTATTTGAAAAGAAAAGTGCTAGATTTTTTACAAAATTTATTTGATATCAGTATTGTGATTCTAGCAGAAATCAATAGATAAGTATAGGTTTCTTTTTTATTTCAGGTTCATACTTTTGCTTCGATAACCCTGGAGCACTGCAGGATAATTTTAAATCAGACTTGCAAATGTCGACTAGCACATTTGTTTTGTTATATTCTATTTATTCTTGGCCAAATGTCATTCTGTGCTTTATTGGTGGATTCCTGTTGGATAGCGTCTTTGGAATTCGATTAGGTACAGTAATATACATGGGATTGACATTAATCGGCCAGATAATTTTCGCGAGTGGCGCTATGGTTGACGCTTTCTGGGTAATGATGCTTGGTCGATTTGTCTTTGGGTATGTTTTCAATACTACTTTATCAGATAATGTAGAATGCTTTGAAATGCATGTCCTTTTATAAGATCGTCAAATTAATAATTATTTCTTTTCTACAGAATCGGGGCAGAGTCGTTGGCAGTCGCTCAAAATAGTTACGCGGTCCTTTGGTTCAAAGGCAAAGAATTAAATATGGTGTTCGGGCTGCAGTTGAGCTTCGCTCGAGTGGGATCGACCGTGAACTTCTTAGTAATGGAGCCAGTATACAATTACGTATCGCAATATTACACCGGTCCACAATGTATCGGCGTAGTTCTCTTTCTTGCATCCGTTACCTGTGTAATGTCGATGATATGCGCTTGTGTGTTGGGTTTCATGGATAAACGAGCAGAGCGATTGCTCCGACGAGGAGAAGGACAGGAACCGCAGGTTGTTAGTCTAAAGGATGTCAAAGATTTCAAGCCAATCTTTTGGTTGGTCGCGATCATCTGCATTGCTTATTACGTCGCGATATTTCCTTTTATCGCTTTGGGAAAGTGAGTATTCCCTTGCGTTTATTGGATGGTACGACTTTTAAATCACATTAGTCAAAGTCCATCTAAATTGGTATATTAGGGCCCTTCGCCCTATTTTTATACTACAGAGCAAGATAAAAAAAAGAGATTAATTTTTATTAATTTTATTTCAGAGTATTTTTCGAGCGAAAGTACGAATATGAGCCATCCGCCGCAAATACGGTGAATTCTCTTGTTTATTCAATATCGGCGATAGCTTCGCCTCTCTTAGGTTATTTAGTAGATAGAACAGGGAAGAACGTATCGTGGGTATTTATTAGTATTTGTACGACTATCATTGCTCATGGGTTGCTCGCTTTTACCTATTTGAGCCCCTATGTATGTATGATTCTCATGGGACTGGCCTATTCTATGCTCGCCAGTAGTTTATGGCCTCTAATTGCTCTTGTGACGCCAGAGCATCAGCTTGGAACTGCTTATGGAATGTAAATATATTTAATTAATGTTAACAAAAATCTTTATTAGCAATCTCATTGCCAGAACGAAATAATGTTAGAGTGTACTAGAATTTAAAATTAAAATTAATGTAATCTTTTCAGAGCACAATCTGTACAAAACTTAGGCCTTGCTGTAGTCTCAATTGTGGCTGGCATTATTGTTGATAAAGGAGGATATTTAATGCTCGAAATGTTCTTCCTCGGTTGGCTCTGGAGTGAGTAATTTCGCGAACTTAGAAATTTAAGCAATACGATTTTTCACGTAAAAACACGAAATTTAAATAATGTATTTCACATTGTAATAGTTTCGTTGATAACCGCCGGTGCGATCTGGATGTCGGACATGGCAACAAGTGGTGGTTATCTTAACATGACACCGGGACAAAGGGAACGATATGAGACAGTTCAATGCACTCCTGAGAGTTTGGAACGAGAAAAATTGTTATCTTCGGAATGCACGTCGGATTTCTCAGCTGATAGTCTTATGCAACCACAATCTGATATCAGTATACGAAATCGTTATTTGTCTCGTATTGGTGCAATGGTAAATCGATTCTTTTACGAAATTATATATATTTTATTTTTTTCTGTAAACGTGATGATTGTAAAAACAAAAATTCTAAAAAAAAAAAACGAATTATAAGACTTAACTTTTTAATAATGCACATTTTTTAATTCTAGGTACCGCCACATGCGATTACACCAATTCATCGACCACTACGATGATAACTTAGTCGCGAATTTAAGATACAAATAAGTATGTAAAAATACTTTTAAATCTTTAAGAACAAAGTTAGCTCTTGTGTCTTCCTATTGCACACAGCTTGATCTGTGATAATTTCGTAACACAATTTTATTTAAGATGTACAATCTCATTTGACAGTCATAACAGTCTTGTTTCATTGATAGCCTCGATTTAGATTATATAATAATTATGTGTACGTCTTTATGAAATTTTTGATAATTTGTGACGGTAAAATAATTGTGCATTTAAAAAACGATCAAAACATTAAGGAACTCCTTATGATAAAATAATATAAACAAATTTAAAAACGGCTATTAGGGGTCAGCGCGGTAAGAAGTGCGCAAAAAATATATACTTTCGATCGTATAAAAATATGTTTAATACTAAAAACTTGAAGTTTAAATTTGTTTATATAATTGTGTATCTTGTAATCAATGATGATAAAGTGTGAATAATTTTTTATCTCTAATTTAAAGAGTAAGCGTTGCAAAGTTACTTGTTCATGAAGTACTTGTAATATATATAGATGTAATATAATAAATGTTTAATCTGACCACTGTCCTTTTTTTTTAAATAAACTAACGAATTGTATAAAAAGCCATTATTTTATTCTAACTCGTACATTTTAATATGTACATTTTAATATTTACAAAGTTCTTTGATTACAAGAGATTATATAAATTTTGTATGATTTTAATTGCATATGTATTTTTTTTAATAGAAATAAAAATCGTGAATTTTTATAAATTTTGAGATTGGAGATTTGTGTGTGCAATTTCGTATATTAGCACAGATTTTCTTATTTCATTTATTCTTTTTACACGAAAACTATTATATATTATTTTTATAAATGTTTTATATAAATATATAAAATATGTAAAAAATATTAAAATATATTTTTATATAAAATGTAATATTTATACATATAGTATAAAGTATATTTTTTATGTTATACATAAACAAATTAAAAGTTTATAATTGTAAACATAAAATTATAACAATTGTTAATATTTGGTTAATACAGTTATGTGTTATGCAAAAGTGTGTGCCACGGCCTTAAATTGTTGTAAATGATTCAATGATTTCTCTGATTGGTTTATTCGTAAAATTCTTTATTCTGATTGGTTAATGAAGCATTTGTAGAAAATTAGTATGGACAGAAAATGGATAACTCTCCTGGTTAGAACGTTTCATATCTGACATGACCGACCAATCAGTTAATAATTAACATCTGATACGTTAGATGGCGCGCATTTACGCTGGTCGCTTGGCCTTCCATTCTTCGTCTCATTATTCTTTGAAACATTCAGTGCATTCGGTACGGAATGATGGAACAGCTGTAGCGCGGAGCACGTGCTTAATGTGAATACTGTGAAGCAAGTGACGCATAAGTATATACGCGTTCGTTCGAGACATTTTGAGTAGTTTGCAGCGAGATGAGGGTCCACGACGACGCGGATCCCAAGTTCAGTGCGATGGGGAAGTCGTCGAAATTGGCCATGAAGCGGTCCAGCACCGTCGTGTTCCACGAAAATCCTAATAAGACGCAGAAAATGAACGAGACCAACGCAGTCGCGAACGCGATAAAGAATAACAACAGGACGAACATGAACTTGCACCAGCGGAGAAAATCGCTGCCCGTCAATATACTCCATAAACAGTAAGTTTCTCGGGGGAACTATGGGCGAGAAGTATGTATCTCTCTTTTACGCGTCATAAAAGAAAAAAAAAGGGGGTGATGTCCGTGATGTTTATTCTGTAACTTTGTGTATACAGGACGTTTCATAATAAAAGATTATTCTGTTGATTGCAAATTATAAGCTAACGGAGATGTGGATAATTTCGGATAATTTCGTCGCAACGCTTACTTATTCGCAGTCGACAAAGTAGAGAATGCAACTAATATAATGGTACTATTGATATAGAAAGAAAACAATAGAAAATAGAACGCATGGATGTCGCAAAGACATCCAAAAGACGTCTTTCGGATTTTATCTGATAATTTTTTCCGTTCTATAAGCAAAAAGACTAAGATTAGTACGACACTAGCAGTGTTGCGCGCTTAGATAATTAAAAATTATCTAGATATAGATAAGATAAATGACACAAAAATTTATCTTAGATAAGATGAAGATGATTAATTTTACATTAATCTAGATAAAAGATGAAATTAAAAAACTTTTATCTGGATAATTTTTAAGTTGATTTTGTTTTTAAGTGACTATTATATTAGGTAATAGGTAGTAAAACGAGGGTATGTTAAGTTAGCACCCCAACTATAATACTCACACTTCCTTTTGACGAGACGAAGAGTTCCCTATAGTTAATAAAAAGAGTTCCGCTCAATAAACATTTTTTTTACATTTTTTAAAAATGGGGTGCTAACTTTTTATCGAATTCCGAGGTGGAATAGTTCTGAGCGGCTTAATAGCTTCAATTTGCGATTGCCTAGAGTTCCTGATATGTAAAAAGAATTTTCCAATATTAAAGAAAAAATTAAAAATTTTTGAAAAATTAATTTTTAAATACAATAGTTCTGATGATAATTCCTGCTTCTTTTTGACGATACGAAGAGTTCTCTATGATTTTTAATGACATATGCGCTTAATAATCATTTTTTAATAATTTTTTAAAAATGGGGTGCTGCTAACTTTTTAACGAAGTTCAAGGTCGCATAGTTCTGATCAGCTTAACAGGACTATTTTGTGAATACTTAGAGTTCTTGATACATAAAAAACATTTTTGAAGAATAATAAAATTTAAAAAAAAATAGTAGAAATCTTTGAAAAATTTTTTGAGAGTACCGAGTAGTTCTGAGTAGCGTTTCTTACAGTTCTCGACGAGTTCTATCGAAAACTGTAAGGTGAAAAAGCGATTGGACCAACGGTTTGCAAGATACAGCGACATTTTTCAGAAGATCAACAATTTTTAGAGTGAGTATATCTCGGAAACCGTTGGTCCAATCGCTTTGAGCCCTGATACTTTTCGACAGAACTCGCCGAGAACTGTCCAGAACTCCGATCAGAACTACTCGGTACTCCCAAAAAATTTTGTACTCGTTTAATATGTTTAAATAATTTTTTTAAGTTTTCCGCTAGCACCGCAAGAGTATAATGCCTCTAAACAGCCAGTACTCGCGTCGAAACCTGCATATTTCTTCGGAACTATTGTAGTACTGTCGGAAAAAGTCGAAAAGTCCTGGCCAGTACTGGCCGTTTAGGGGTACTTTATTCTTGACGTGCGGTGCCAGCGCGCGGATCGAAAAATTGTTTAAACATATTAAAAAGGTGGGTAGTGTCACTGAAACCGATCAGGAACTGTAGTACTCTTCGAGTACTACAAAATGGCGCAAAAAAAAAATAATTTTTTTAAAAGTTGAGGTGCGAGCTCTTTTTTTAAAAATTTATTTAAAAATATTTAATGGCCGGTACTATTGTTATAATCGATCAGGAACTGCAGTACTCTTCGAGTACTGTGAGATTCCGTCATAAAAATCGGCTTTTTCAAATCTTGCGGTGCCACGCGAAGTTAGCACCGCATATTTTTATTTTTTAAAATTTTTGGCCTAAATCAACAGTACTATTGATGAAACCTATCAGGAACTCTAGAACTATTGCGGGTGCAAGCAGTACTGTTATTAAAATTTCCGATTTTTAAAGTTGAGGTGCTAACTTCACAGAGACCCGGAATCATTGAAATCGCGGTGAAACTAAAATTACAGCTTTCTAAGCAAATAAAAATGGTTCTAATGCTGGTAGACATAAATAAATTATCAAAACGTAATGAAAATATCATTTAAACGAAAAATAAATAATAAAAATATTTATTCTCACTTATGAAATATGAAGAAATGCTACGACTTAACATTTAATAATCAATTAAACAGTATGGGCTCCCTAAAAAATAAATACGCATTGAATTCCTAACAACCTAGAGAACATGTGTGAAAATTTTCAGTTTATTCGTTTGCGTTTACGAGCAACAAACAATTGTTTACCGCTGTTCGGGCAGAAAAGAGTCTTTTATTAGGTTTGGCATTTTTTTTAACAATTGTGCAGTTCGTGCTACTTCAATAACGAAAATGCATTACATTCCTAACATCCCAGAGAACACGTTAATAACATATATATATGCTTATAATGATGCTATATTTGATAACCAAAATGTCCGAAGCAACGGAATTAGCATGTTAACGCAAGCATAGGAACTTTCCGTTGATTCGGATATTTTCACTATTAAATGCAGTATTATTATAAAATATTCTACATTTTTCATATTCTATATTGTTTAAAAAAAAGTACCAAACTTTATAAGAGACGCTATTCTGCCCGAACAGCGATAAACAATTGTTTGTTGCTCGTCAACGCAAAATAGCGCTTTTACCGTTAATCTATTTTGCGTTTAATAGATAATAAGACAGATTATTGTTATATAATTTTTGTACATTTGAAGAGGTCTGAATCATGCAGCTGAAACATGTAATGTTAATTAAAGTAAAGTTTATTCTTTGTTTGTAGTATCTCAGTACTTTTATTTAAATACTTGAGAAAGTGTTTCTATTTATCAGACTCTTACTAGTCCTTTTGTATTATATAATTGTTATTTTTATAATAGGTATACACGCGATATAAATAGAATTAATAATAACTCGACAAAAATATAGGGGAGAATGTCCTAAATCGGACCGTGTTCCAAATCGGACCTTTTTAATTTAAATAAATACGATTAAGCAGATTTGCGTGCTATTTATAATGTAAAGTTATGAGACACCGAACATGTGACAGCAGTTTGGCAGTACTCTATCATAATGTTCATAGAATAGACGAAAATATGTATTAAAAATAAAAAAAAAAAAATCTTGTAAATCATTATTTAAAAGATGTTAAAAATTTGAACGATGATTTAAGATAATTAAAAAGTGTTGAATTAAAAAATATCAAGAGTTTTGTGATTACTTTTGCGGTTTATTGTAAAATTTATTCCAATCATTCGAAAGAACCTGTGTCTCTTTAAGTGTCCAAATTAGACTTATACAAAAAAACACTAAAAAGATGAGTAAGCCAGTTAATTCATCGAAGAAAGAAGGTTCGCCAC